TGGCTGTGACCCTTTTCCCACTCTGAAACTCTGTGTGTTCAGGACTTCTAACTGTGTAGAAGATGAAGATTGATATCCATAACCACATTTTGCCCAAGGAATGGCCTGATCTAAGAGAGGTAGGGAAGCTCAGAGCTCAAGAAATAGATTGTAAAGTGAGCAATTGTATAATGGCAGCTACATCTGCAATGTCAGTGTAATTACTGCATAAAATCACTTTTTGTGCAAGATCCGTCTGTACACACCAGCTTGCTTGGACAAATCAACAGCAGTAGCAGGTTTTCTGTCTGTAAGCCTATGCATTCTCATTATTTTGTGCCTTTATTTACATTCTCATGATTTACATTTTATGAAATAATCTGTCTTAATGGTGAGCTCTGCAGAAACACAATCTGAAACTTGCTTTTGAAATCTGCTCTAGTGAAATATTAATCAGTCAGGACCTTGGCCTTTCCCACTAATTTGTGTCAACAGAGCATAGTAAAGGTAATCATTTCTCATGTTCACATGCTAACGCTATCTTCATGTCAGGCTTCAGAATGGTTTTTGATGGTATATAAAATTTCTTAGTCCAGTATCATAAAATTTCTAGTTATTTTTCAAAACTATATACTGGTGTGTGTATATATATATATATATACAGATAGATAGATAGATAGGTAGATATAGATATAGATATATTATTTGCAAGTACTTGCACTGCACTATCTGTCATTATTATTATTACTGTTACTTATATTCAGACTGTTATTTGCACATTATTGCTATTTGCACATCTGCATTTTTTTTATCCACTGCATCATACTGCATGCATCATGCTTCTTACCTCTACCTGTATACTCTTTATACTCAACTAACTGCACCATAATTCTTATTTATTCCATTTAACTTAATTGCCACTTGCATGACTGGTATGCATCATACTGTTTCCCACTGTACACTGTTAACTTATTGCACCATAACCTTGTTACCTCATTTTAATTTATTTGCTATTTGCAGTACTGGTTGGATGCTAACTGCATTTCGTTGTCTCTAAGGGTTATATATATAGTGTGTGTGTGTGTGTGTGTGTGTTTGTGCGTGTGTGTAAGTAAGGAAGGAAGGAATGAAACACAGGCTGTGCTGTTATTGAAAAATGATAAAAAATCAGCAGGTGGTGTGATGTATTGAATTCTCTAATCTGATTGGTCAGAAGGTGGTTAATTTTCCTTAATCACTACATTATACTGACTCAGTATAATCCTCTATGCATTATATATTATCATTAGTATTCAGTCAGGGAGATCCAACAGTATTTAACTTAAATTTCTCAGAACATCATTTATTTTTCCCTACTCATTTTTTATATATAATATATACATTAATATTTTTTCATAAGTGGTAGAATAGACTTCTAGTCCCTGTCTCTGCTACATTGTAAAATTTATCGTAATTCATTCAATATAAAGATATGTACATAAACCTGAGTACTACACAGCTGACTAGTTATGTTGCTAATTTGTAACTTCATTTCTAGTCTGAAAGCTTACAAGGAGAAACTGCCTATATCACACCTTCCATATGCCCTAGACCATAATCCCATTTTGACCTTTGAAGCTAAATGTAAACACTTCATCAGTATTTCCACTGTGTAGAAGTGTGTCTTTGGTTAGATTCTCTTCTATTTTATTTTATCCAGTATTTGTAGGTAGGGATGGACTGTAAATAAGCCAGTGACATCTCAGTTGTTTAATTTCTGAGCCTGTGATAGAGTGCTGAGGAGAATCTTTATCCCTCATCTACTTAGCTGTATGCTTGGATTGTATCTTTCTCAACTGTGTGTTTCTTTCGAATAAAGCATATGGCAAATGAATAAATAATAATGGACAGAAGGATTAAATCTAAAACAAAAATCTAAAAAAAAAACAATAGCGTTCCAGTATATGATTGTCATGTCAGTGCCTGATTAGGCACCAGACTCCAGTTCCCAGAATGCCTTGTGGCCTACAAACATGGCCTACGATTCCCAGCACTCACCAGCACGCTCACGTTCACGGTCACCCGATTACTGATTGCAAACACCTGGACTCAATCACCACCACACACTATATAAGCACACAGAGCACTCCAACCCACTAGTCATGCTCAGGGTATCATTGCCTGACTTACCAAGCCTTTGTTTATTGTTGTCTCTGGTCTGGTTTATGACTTTGTTTATTCCTGTTTTCATGAGTTTGGATTTGCTCAGTTAATGTTGTTTGCTGATCGCCTGGATCTCTGCCTGTTTCTGACCCTGCTCTTGCTTAAAATTCAGAAAACACTCCAAAACTTTAATAAACCTCACCTGCGACTGTCTGTGCCACCAAGATGAGTATCAGAAGAGTGAATATGATGAGTAGGACAACCCATAGTTATGCTTTGGATATTTATGTATATACTTTATTGATCCCATGAGGGAAATTCTTGTGTTACAGCAGCATGGTCAGTAGCAAGATACAACACGTACACACACACAATATAAAATATAAAATACAATAAGTTAAATTAAATGTAGTAGTGCAGATATGGAACACAGTTGTAGATTTAACCAGATTTACATCAGTATTTACATAAGTACACTTGTGAAAAACTGGCAGTGAATAATGAATATGAAGAACCTTGAGAATGTAGAATATAATGACAGCTTTCTAAATGATAGCTTTCTTGTAGTAGTGTAATGTGAAAGTGTTATCATCTGTCACACACAGGTGAGCTGTTATTGTACAATGTTATTGCAAATGGTAAGAATGAACTCCTGTAACGTTCTCTGTGACAACGAATTCGAATGAGTCTTTTGGAGAATGAGCTCCACTGACTCTGTAGTGTGTTGTAGAGAGGGTGAGGCGGATTGTCCATGATGGAGAGCAGTTTGTTCAGTGACCTCCTGTTCCTCACTGACTCAAACGTCTCCAGTTTGTGTCCAATGATAGATCCAGCCTTGCGAATAAGCTTGTTAATCCTGCTGGTATCCCTGGCACTGATGCTGCCCCCCCAGCAGACCACAGCACAGTAAATGACACTCAGAGTCCAAAAGACAGACAGGCAGAGGTCAAAGCTAAAAATATATACAGTTAGGAAGAATGTTATGAAAACTTGGATACTGCTAAACAAGGTACATGACCATGTAAGAAATAAAATATAAGATTACAAATACAAGTGAAAGAAATACTAGAAACTAAAGTATAGGAGTATAGACTATACACTGTCTATAACTAGTTTGTGTCTCTATACTAGAATAATTTTTCATACAATAAATAAATTTCTTATATTTTCCAGAGATATGGATATGATGGATTTGTCCAGCTCCACCACCACTGTAAGGTAAGATCTAAGACACCCAGGCTACATTTTATTGGTTTTATAGCAGCAGAACTTTAAGATTGATTTTAAAATACCCAATACATATTCAATGTAAATATGTTTGGAGATGAAAGTGTGTGTACAGGTCAGAGCATAAATAATAGATGGAGGAAAAGGGACCGAGATTGATGTTATTGTTTCAGTTTTACAAAGAGACTCAAATTTTTAACAATCTTGTCCTACCTAATGATGAGTTCTTGAATATAAATTTGCCATTTTTTATGAGCCAGGCACATAAAGTTTTATGATGGACAAGTTTTCTAGTATTGCACTTTTTATTACCAGGACTATGTGTTTAAATGTATGCAAATGAGCATGCACTGCAGTCTTGTGGTACATCTATATAGACAAAGCAGCAACTCTGCTTCCTCTGCACCACATTGCAGTATAATAGTCTAATGATCAGGATGAAAGTAGGGTTGGCTCGCTATGGAGCTGGACTGTGTGTGTATGTTGGCTTGTGCTAACTAAGACCCCTATGAAGAATGAGTGGGCAGCACAGGAAGAACAGGCTACCATTTAGGACATGGGGCCAGATGATGGCAGAAGATATATTAACGAGACAGCATGATAACCACAATGCTCAGGAACTCAGGTCCTTCAGGGTCACATCATTTGATTATAGATTTATCCTGCTCTTTCCAGTCTGACTTTAACCCATTGAGGGTTTGATCTAATTGATTAATGTGTATAAAATGAGGCAAAACAGTAGATTTTGGTGTATTCTGGTTGTTTGAGGTATAGTATAAAGGGCACATTATCAAACACTAGTTGGACTTCATCATTTAAGAAAGATAGATGTCAAAATCTATGCCACAGATAGTTTAATTAAAAAACTATCTTACTATAAACATAGTCTCATACTGTATATTCTCTCAGTCCTCCTTTCAGTCACTTATATATTGAAAAGAGGTTGAGGCACTTTAAGGTTACAGCTGCTCTCTGGTGGTTGGAAGTACAAAAAGCAGCCTGAGTATTACAATTCAGCACAACTGTGGGGTTTTTTATTCTCTGAGCTATTAATCATGTGGTTTATATTCAAATGGGATATGTGCTGTTTTCTTTCTGTGCCTTGTGGTTGTGGACTTAAGTCCATGAATCCATGTATTCCCAGGGAGAAGCCAAAATGATAAAGGATGGGAAAGTGTTCCGTGTAGTTCAGGAGAACTGCTGGGATGCTGAGGCTCGGATACGGGACATGGATAAGCACGGTAAAGCTGTTTTGCTAAATCTTTGTTACATTTCCTCCAAAATCTGTGCTGATTAATAATGTACCATCTGAATAAGATATCAGTTAACATCAGCTAACTGTATTTCTTTCAGGTGTCACAGTGCAGGCCTTGTCTACTGTACCTGTAATGTTCAGCTACTGGGTAAATAACACCTGAAATTCTACCTTACATGCATTTAGCATCATTTTCTAAAGTCAAACAAAACTCAATACATAACACAATAGGTATGAAGTATACAGGTAGTATACCTTTATTTCTGTATGGCATTAAAGACGTTGCTGCTGTTGTTCTTTCGGCTGCCACAGTGGATCATTGGTCCTCATATCTGATTTGGCCGGATGCCAATTTTATCCGAGCTTGAGACGGGCACTGGGTGTGCAGTCTTGTGCGTTCCCTGGCCAGGAATCGTACCCAGGCCACGGCGGTGAGGGCGCTATGGCCTAACCATTAGTCCTTCAGGGACCCCATGACATTAGAGTAGTTAATCTTACATTATTAAGAACAAGAAGATGAGAAACAAGTCAGAATGACATTGTATTACCTTGAACAACCCACTGCTCAAAAAGTAACAGAGATGCATAAACAAATATCTAAAGCCTTTCCTTGTCCCAGTTCAGGATTTAGCACACGCTTGTTAACTTCCCCTCAGAGTAGCAACTGGAGAATCTGATCATAAGGTATTACTGTGTGATGCAGTTTCAGTTCCAACAGAAAAGAATCAAGCTGCTAATAATACGCATGGATAAAATCTTTCAAAAACATAATCAAACATTAGATTAGCTGTGTTTACATTCAATTACTTTATCCTGCCAGCCATCTGGGTTGTTAGCGCATTAGCTAGTATCGTAAAACGTCCGCATGGCTATAAAAACAACACTAGAATGCACTTCTATATTATTCCTGTGTGCCAAGAACATTATATCTCATCAGCTAACCACTACAATATTCTCTTTTTCTAAAGTGGTGACTTAATATAAGCTATTGGAACACATGATCTGCTATCTGTATATCCCTCTACCCTTGAATTTCCTTGACCACTAACTTGATCTAAGCTGAATTTACAGAAAATGTTGTGTCCATCATATGTTACTGCATGTCTACCAAAATCTTATCCATATATCCACTTGTCCATCCAAAAAGGCAAAACCTCAGGACACACTGGACCTTTGTGGGATCCTTAATGACGATCTGGCAGCCACCGTGAGGCGAAACCCGAAACGCTTTGTAGGCCTCGGCACCCTTCCCATGCAGGCCCCTGAGCTGGCTGTACAGGAAATGCGGCGCTGTGTGCAGGAGCTGGGTTTTCCAGGAGTGCAAATCGGTTCACACATCAACACTTGGGACCTCAATGCTCCTGAGCTTTACCCTGTTTACGCTGTAAGTCAGGTGACCTTAGCTACAAAATATTTGATCATTAACATTTCATAACCTGAGGCTTTGATTTGATTTTTTGTCCTTTTAAGTGATGGTACTGCCATATCTTGTTCAAATAATAAGCTGCGATTGAGTGTGATGGAGCTATAGAACCTAGAACCAACCAGGAAAATGTTAAAACCTGAGGTTGAGAACGAGCCTTAGAATGAGGATAGTGGATTTCAAACCACTTCAGCGAATAAATAAAGAAGCTCTTTCTGAAGATCAGGCTGCACTAATTATTCACTAATGTGATACACCCTCAGGATCTGAAATAAATAGACACAAGTGAAGGTTAAGTGTGTGTGTGTGTGTGGGCACGGATGGTACTGTGGCGCAGCAGGTAGCATTGCCGCCTCTCCTCCATGGCCCCTAGTTCGATCCGAAGCTTGGGTTGCTGTCTGTGCAAAGTTTCTGTGAATATTTTCCACTTGTCCACTTTTCCTCCAGGTTTTCTAGTTTAAGTGGATTCCACTTAGGTGGATTGGCTACACTAAATTGCCCTAGGTGTGATTGCGTGTGTGACCTTGACCAAGATGACCCTGATTGAAGATGAATGAACATATGAATTTATAACATATTGATTCCAAACAATGAATTTTGCTTAAAATGTTGGAAAGGTATTCTCCCTCTCAGCATTCACTAATCATTAATATGTGCAACAATTTATTTAAATCTCTCGATCTGTTATATGAAGTTTTGCGCTAAAAGGTGACTCAGAGGCTTTATGTATAAGCGTGTACTGTATGAACCAGTCTCATAGAACTCTAAACATGTGCCATATTAAAAAAAAAAATCACTCTGCAAGCTCAGCAGTTTATTTCATAAACTCTGAAGCAATAGCCCTTATCATTTCTTATAAGAAGTTTGTTTAAAAGTGTTTAGCAGAACATTATACTCAACTCTCTCTGGCCATTTATTATTTAGGAAAAAGTATGACTGTGTGCTTAGGGAAATACAAAAAGCAAAATGAAAGCGATAACCTAAAAAACGTAGAAGACCAAAGCAATGACATGACTAGAAGCAAACACAGGATGCAGAAATGCCGAAATGTCTCCATGTGTCTCCATTGAGATCGGATTTGAAGTTCCTATGTTACCACTGACCAAGATAATAAAGAGAGCCAGGAACCAGAAGTGAGGGTGCTGGCACTTTAGTTATTTAAGAACATCTTTGCTAATTTAGCTTAAAAAAAAAAATCATTTATTTCTACAATCAGTTGGTAATGTTTTACAAAACAAGGTTCTGATATATATTTTTTGTTAGATGCTATACTTGTGCACTCTGTGTTTCTTGTGAATCTAGTCTTCAAAATCAATCCCAGTCTTTAATGACTTTAGCATTGATCTTACTCTGTGTGTGTTCAGTTTATTGCTGCAGTGCCTCAGTGCCATATATTTGATTAAAATATTAATAAAAGCTTCTTACCAGCAGTGCAGACAGGTGTGTGTGTGTGTGTGTGTGTGTGTGTGTGTGTGTGTGTGTGGGCAGTGTGTAAACTGAGGAGATCGAGATGATCTAGTTATTTCTACAATTATTAACATTTTGCAGCCAGTTTAGAAGTTTAATAAAAATTACACTGATAATCTAGCCAAAGATAAATATTTTTTATATCGGTAGCATTTTAATGGTATAACATTATTATTCATTTATTTATTTATTACCAATATATTTTAGTATTATACACCTATAGTATACACGTTATTGGAACACCTGGGCCCCCACTCGGGCTTATATTCAGTATTAGTTATCTTCATTAACTACTTTAATCTGGATGCAGTGGATCTAGAACATACACTCCATCTGCCAGCATGTTTTTGGTATGTGGGAGAGAAATGCAATGCCTAGAAGAAAGACACACACATGCAAAACTCCACTAAGACAGATTGTAGACTTGAATCCCAGTCCATGGAGCTGTGAAGCAGGAAATGCTCGCCACCTTTTAATCCACTGTGCTGCCCTGTATATTTCTGTATTTTGCAAATGTTTCATACAAAAGAATGAGTAAATGGTAATTAGCTGCTGAGTTGGTGCTAGGATTATAGAGTATATACTGCAGTGATGTGAATGTGAATGGCTGTAAGTCTACAGGAAGTCCAGTGATGGTACGGTATATCAGGTATTGCAATTAAAATAAGGCTCTTATAGTGCCTGTTGATAGAAAGACATGAATATGGATTAATGTATAGTGTTTCTGAATCTCTCAGGCTGCTGAGGAGCTAAACTGTGCATTATTTGTGCATCCATGGGATATGCAGACAGATGGGAGAATGGCCAAGTACTGGCTGCCATGGCTAGTTGGTGAGTATGAATTAATGCTGGCACACAATATTTCAAACCAAATTCTATTGGATTATTTAAATTAGATTCAGTCCTTATGGGCTTACAGTACACAGGGCGCCTTGATGGTAGAATCAAATGGCTAGTGACCATTTCACAAATAATTTCCTCAGTAAGACAATTGTTTATTCAGGCTTAGAAATGATTTTAAACAGTAAATTTCGAAGTATTATTAACTTGATAATAGTTCAAGTTCATCAGAATGTGGTCACTTCCCTACAGGTATGCCTTCAGAAACTACAATGGCTATTTGCTCCATGATCTTTGGGGGTATTTTTGAGAGATTCCCAAAGCTAAAGGTCTGCTTTGCTCATGGAGGTTGGTTATGAAACAAACTTTCAGCTCTGATGGTGATTGGGAACATTTTGTATGATTAATGCCGCATCATCTCTTCAAGGTGGTGCTTTTCCTTATACAATTGGACGAATCGAGCATGGATTCAACGTCCGGCCAGACCTGTGTGCTACAGACAATAAGATCAATCCACGTAAATACTTAGGATCATTTTATACTGACTCTCTGGTCCATGACCCGCTTGCTCTTCAGTTACTCATTGATGTCATCGGGAAGGTAAGATTTCTTTTTCATCTCAGGAAATACTGCATATCTGAAATCTAGTACTACATACAGTACTATAAACTTATTTTAAGTAATCCGTTGGATTACTTAATATAGCATTCAAGTGTGTTTAGAAATGCCAAGTCACAGCCTACAACTTTGAAACTTTGCACAATTAGATGCACATCATGATAGAAAATATAAGTTCAATATAAGTTCAAGTTCTATGTATAATTTCCACATTACGGGTGTGACCTTTGAACTCATATCATATGAAATTTCAAAGAACTCATTGCCTCATTTAGCATCAGTGAGATGCACTGGATATCTGGTCATGTGACCATTCAGAAGGAACGCAGGCACATATTCAAAAGTAAGATATTCATGTACAGGTTAAAGACACGTAGCATACAAGATTGTGAAAGAAAAAAAGACTTTTATATTAAATATTTCATAGACTATACTGTATATAATATAACAGAGATCCACATCAACACACTGTTTTTTGTATACATGCCTGAAGACCTTCTTGCAGTGTCAAGGTGATATTTTTGTGTTACAGACATAACATGTCTGAATGAGTCTGTCTTTATAAGCACTGTGCACTCCTCTGTTCCAGGATAAGGTGATGTTAGGAACAGATTACCCATTTCCTCTTGGAGAACTGGAGCCGGGAACATTGATAGAATCGATGCGTGAATTTGACGGCACACTAAAGGTACCAGGTCCCTAATGCTGATATTTAAATCTTCCCATGATGCTTAGATAGTTGGCTGATAAGAACATTTGTGCAGATCTACACAAATTTCAAATGTTCATATTTGATCATGCTTTGTCAAAACTCAGCTGGAATTGTATTTTATTTTATTTTTTTCACTTATTTGCAGGATAAACTCCTGGCAGGAAATGCTCTCGAATTTTTGGGTCTTGAGAGGAAACAGTTTGAGTGACGTGCTAAGAATTCAGTTGTCTGCCTCATGGGGGGAAAGGACTGGTGCCAGAATATAAAAGTGAAGGTGCAGCAGATCATTTAAAGATTTCTGGAGAGACATTCTCCTTCAAATAAAATATATTTTTTGCAGTTTCAGTGGTGTGATTTGGTCACTCATTAATTTCTCATCTGCAAAATTTTCCCATGTCGAAAAACCTAA